CGCTAGATTATCTTTTTACATCCAATTACCAATTAGAAGGGCATTGGAGAATTGATGACAAATATTTCGATTTTCACCTCAACACTCATGGAGCTTTTCTGCACATTCTACGATTCGTGCATTCTAGTATTTTTTAAGATAATTTCTGTTCTATTGGTGATTCTTACATCGCTGAATAGGTATATTCTTGTATATTGGCATTTACTCCACTTTTCTACATCATCCAGTTAAATTGTTTTCCAAAACAATTAGCTGTAATACTCTCAATCAAAAATTATTAAATCTATCAAAATATAAAAATATCAATTCTTCAAATCAATTAGAAAAACTTCATTTGCCATCAAAGATGTATTTAATGATTATGATTTTTTTAAAGGAAAGCCAATTGGTTCTTTCAAAAGGAAGAAGATTAGAAGATATATATTTATTTGCTTCATAAGTTTAAGTGAAATTAGATTTTTCTCTTGATCGCCATCTTATAAATAGCTGATCAAAGAGGTTCAAGCCTCTGTGCTATCCAGACCCAAATATATCTTTCCCTTGAGTGACGTTTCACATCATTTCATCCCTTGTATTTAGGGTCTACTTATAAGAAGGATTATGACGTTTTTGCAGTTCTGAATGGCACTTTATCCTTTTAGTATTAGAGGATGTTTGATTAAGGAATCAAACGATAAGTAACAACCTTAAGTTACTGAGATGTGATGACCCCTTTCCTACCACCAAATATAGCCCTGGCTGTGCCCTTCTTATATTGGTCAACAATCTTTTTTGGCAGCTTAATAATAATTTTCAAATTGTTTCTTATGTCAAATGCTTCAAAAATGTAGGAAACCTTTCCATTATCATTTGTATTCAATATTTTTTCATTCATTTATATTTCTAGAATGGTATCTCCTCCAACTTAATTTTTCCCCATTTAAGTTAAAAAATTAGAAAAGTAGTTTAATTGATTTTTGTAAGTGCATTGAACTGGTTCAATCGTTTTATGCCAAATAAAGTGAGCTTGAAATTTTTATGTTTATGTAACATTTTTTGGAATTAAACAGGAGGATTAAAAAGAATTAATCACGGATAAAGATACATAATTCTTAAAGTCTTTTGTTTCTAATTAGCTTATTTCTAAATTCTTGAAGTTTTATTTCATAATTTCAAACATCTTATTTGTAGTATCATTTAATTTACAACAAAAGAAATAATTATTAGGAGTTTTTTTTTAATCCAAAGCCTGCATTAATTTTTCTAAAGAGCCTTATTAAATATCATCTTTATGTTAATCTTCAATTGAATCATCATGATATTATTTGCCATGTGTTGGAGCATCACTTATCAAAAATGTGCAAAGTATACTTTAAGGGTGTTTTGAAAAATTCAATTTTAAAACATGCTCAATTCCCCCTGCAACATCTTCTGCTTCGTCATCACCTCCTGTAGCTTCTAGAGTACTGATAAATTATTTTACTAATTTAACATCCGTTGTAAAATCATAATATTAAATATGTTTTTAGTCTTTAAAATCTCTATAGCCAACAAAAGCAATTCTAATTTATGTTTCTGATACAGTTTTGTTAAAGATATCGATTATTTCTGATATACTTTCTCTTGCTTGAGCAATCCAAGTTTCCATACTGGCAGTGCAATCCATTATAAAAACAACATCCAAAATGTTGCTTTCTTTAATCTCAAGATTTAATTTTTAGAGTTTTTACTTTTCGAAAAGCAATTCTAACTTTTTAAATGACTTGGCATCCATTTTTTCTGATTCTGGTTTCAAACTATGAGTGCATGGTATCAATTTTTTCCTTTCAAATTAATCAGCTGATACATTTTTAACATTCTCCCAATCAACATGAAATTTCGGGCATTATCCTTTGTAATCGCAAATACCTTTAAAATTCTTAAGGCAATATTTTTCCAAGCCATTATATATTTTACCTACATCCGTTATAGCCTCTGGACTTAAATTTTTATATTCATATTCCTTCAACACTTCTAATCGGAGTGCTTCCCAATCAACATGTTTTTAATTTTTTTCACACTCCCCCTCACAATCATCGCTATTTTTTAAATACTTAATGCAAATATTTCTCTTTGATATCCAATCTCTGTGTAAATAATAACAATTGCAGTTTTTGCACTCAAATTTTTGGCATAGATTAAAAACAAAAACCCCATTAATTGTCATCATTTAGAGTTTCTCTTTCAAACTACCCTTACCCATATGAATCAAATTCTTAGGGCAAGGTTTCTTACATTTACTATTTAAATTGTCAATACAAATTCCTGCAAGACATCTTGGATGCATTAGATTGCATTCTTTACTTTTACATTATGTGTTTTCTGGGCAGATTAATTGCAATTACTCAATTAACTTTAAAATCATATAATACTTTCCTTTATGATTTTCTGTTTCTCTTAATTAAATTCTAATAGAATTAACATTTGTTAATAAATTTCTATTCAAATTCATCTTAATCCCTACTAGAAAAATCAATGTTAATTCCCAACTTAATATCATGCTTTATTTGTTTGCTAATTTTAGGGATTATTTTACTTATAATATTATCATGCAGATCATATCATATGAATTATTCATTTTAATAAAAATCCCTAAATTTCATATAATTTTAAAAATATTCATAGTCTTATCTAACAATATTTTACAGCATTTAATTAAACCAAAATAATTCTATTAAATATACATTATATAAGTATTTTTAATGGATTGTATTTATGATTGATATGAGTTATGTGATCTCCATTTCTAAATTATTAATCACAATAAATTTTACCAGCCTTAAATGTTTTATTTAAACAAGCCAAAGAAACATAATCATGATTTTCGATAGATCATTTTATTACAAATCAACAATATTATTCATATAGTTTTATTATTTTTAATTCTATTTAATATATTCCAATATTCTGTATATATATCATTCTTACTAGTGCTAAGAATTTTAGAGTCCATATAAAATAGGAAACTTGACCTGTTGATTTAAGTAATAACAATTTACTTTAGTGAACAATATTAGTAATAGATAAATAAACTGAAAATCTTTATTTAATAAGTTAAGACAATGCAAAAATCGTTTATTTTTTGAAATATTAGGAACTTAAATAACAAAACATTGAATTTTTAATAAATCTATTGGATATTTAATTTTGATAACTAAATAGTGAATCTTGATATTTCTATGTTGTTTCCATTTCTCACTCTCTTAATTCAGCTTAATCAAAAATTAGGTCGGTTTATTTTCCACCTCCTTTTTTAGATTCAAAATCAAATTGTTTATTCAGAATCTCCTATTGATTTAATAATGTTAGCTTTTTAATATCATTTGTAACTAATCAAAACATACTAACATTTTCTCCATTTTATTATGTCAATTTAACGATAATTTGTCAATTATCCATTTATTANATATCCAATCTCTGTGTAAATAATAACAATTGCAGTTTTTGCACTCAAATTTTTGGCATAGATTAAAAACAAAAACCCCATTAATTGTCATCATTTAGAGTTTCTCTTTCAAACTACCCTTACCCATATGAATCAAATTCTTAGGGCAAGGTTTCTTACATTTACTATTTAAATTGTCAATACAAATTCCTGCAAGACATCTTGGATGCATTAGATTGCATTCTTTACTTTTACATTATGTGTTTTCTGGGCAGATTAATTGCAATTACTCAATTAACTTTAAAATCATATAATACTTTCCTTTATGATTTTCTGTTTCTCTTAATTAAATTCTAATAGAATTAACATTTGTTAATAAATTTCTATTCAAATTCATCTTAATCCCTACTAGAAAAATCAATGTTAATTCCCAACTTAATATCATGCTTTATTTGTTTGCTAATTTTAGGGATTATTTTACTTATAATATTATCATGCAGATCATATCATATGAATTATTCATTTTAATAAAAATCCCTAAATTTCATATAATTTTAAAAATATTCATAGTCTTATCTAACAATATTTTACAGCATTTAATTAAACCAAAATAATTCTATTAAATATACATTATATAAGTATTTTTAATGGATTGTATTTATGATTGATATGAGTTATGTGATCTCCATTTCTAAATTATTAATCACAATAAATTTTACCAGCCTTAAATGTTTTATTTAAACAAGCCAAAGAAACATAATCATGATTTTCGATAGATCATTTTATTACAAATCAACAATATTATTCATATAGTTTTATTATTTTTAATTCTATTTAATATATTCCAATATTCTGTATATATATCATTCTTACTAGTGCTAAGAATTTTAGAGTCCATATAAAATAGGAAACTTGACCTGTTGATTTAAGTAATAACAATTTACTTTAGTGAACAATATTAGTAATAGATAAATAAACTGAAAATCTTTATTTAATAAGTTAAGACAATGCAAAAATCGTTTATTTTTTGAAATATTAGGAACTTAAATAACAAAACATTGAATTTTTAATAAATCTATTGGATATTTAATTTTGATAACTAAATAGTGAATCTTGATATTTCTATGTTGTTTCCATTTCTCACTCTCTTAATTCAGCTTAATCAAAAATTAGGTCGGTTTATTTTCCACCTCCTTTTTTAGATTCAAAATCAAATTGTTTATTCAGAATCTCCTATTGATTTAATAATGTTAGCTTTTTAATATCATTTGTAACTAATCAAAACATACTAACATTTTCTCCATTTTATTATGTCAATTTAACGATAATTTGTCAATTATCCATTTATTACAGGAATTAAGAATTGATTATTATCTTGACTTCTCTAACTTGTATAATTCATTTTCACTTTTTGCATAATTAGTTAGCATATTTCTTAACAAAGATTGAATAATGAAGAAGTTAATTTATTCATTAATCTTGATACTTGTCATTACTAATTTAATAATTATTAATTTCTAATAATTGCAAATCGAAGCTTTTTGAACAAAAAAAGCAATTTTATCTAGAAAGTATTCATCAAGATATATAAATTTTAAGCAGCTAATATTATTCATTAAATGAATTTGAGTATTTTAATCTCTACCTTCTGATTTACATATTTATGATTATTAAATCAAATATAAATCATATTCAATTTCAACTTTAATGTAGAAACTTACAAATCTATTGAAAGAAATATGACAAGTTTTTCGATTTCTATTGTAATTCATAATAAAACACTTAGCTAATATTTGAAGAATTTTAATTTATGTGAAAAATTCAATAGTTTTGTAGGCTGAAATCTTAAAACTAATAAATCTGAGAAAGATTGAAAGACTTCCAAAAATTAAAAAATGTTAAATAACAACTTTGTTTGAACCTAAGATCAAAAAAATGAAAGAAGTCATCAATAATTCATTCTGTTTTTACCTTGTTATTAGGCCTATTTGCATCGAACAACATAGTAATAAAATGCAAAAGATATGAATCAGATAATTAAAAACATTCCTCTAATTATTAAGCCTTCAAAATAACAATGCTACTTGTTATTAAATATTTAATTTTTGTATTGCAATAAGGCCTGACTTTCCAAAATCAAGAATGATTTGTCTTGAATACATCATTCCTTAATGCAACTAGGGATATCCCCAAGAACCAAAGTGACAGAAGGCTAGAAATAACTTCTGTAATTATGGATGAATTACTTTTCATGTTTGCTCAAGTCAATCTAGCTTTTCATATAATCTAGCAAATTTGGAATGGAGAAGGTCTGTCTAAAACGAATAAAAGGAAAAAGTTTGTTGTGAAAAATTATTTAATTTTCTAAATCAGAATTCGGATTTAACTCCAGCAAATTTAGTTCGATATATTCAAGCTAATACTCAAATGGCAGTAAGTGGGGCTTGATTTTTCTCTTTAATTCTTGACATAGAAAGGCAGATTAATTCTTTAATTGAAGACTGCGAAACTCTCCTTGATACCTAATATTAACATTTATCAATTAGAAAATCATCATATAAATTAAAAGTAATATATTTTTAGATTGTTCTTTCTCTAGGGTCAAAAAAAGAATGATGAAATGTTTCACAATTCTCACTCCTCATCTATTCAATAATAGGTAATAATAATTTATAATTTCGTGTTCCTGGGAGGAGGGGATCAAGATCCTTCTTGATGTAATTTCCAAATTATGGGTCGATAATTTTCATCTATACAAAGATAAAATATTTTAATATTCCTTGATTCTTAATATTTATTTAACTCTCACTTTCAGTAAATTCAATTCATTTAAATTTAGTTAGTATTTATTTATATAGCAAATGTTATAGCTGATGATTACTGATTATAATAGAATCATTGCCAATAACAATTAAACTAGATATTTTTTTTTTTTAATTTTTCTAATAGTAAAGATAATTCTCAAATTGAAGATTTCAAAAAATTACAAATACATGTTTTAAAAGAACTGATCAAAATTACTAATTTCGTAAAACATTGAATTTTTGGTTGCCTTTATGTTAGTAATACATAATAATCAATAAATTCTGCAAGCATTCAACTAAGCTATTTTTTTTTATATCCAAAAGTGACCAAATTTCTATTTTATTAAATTTTTTTTCAGAATCTACCATAATTGTTAATTTAAAAAAGGCCACTTTATATGAAAGCAGATATTGTTTTACAGTATCATGTCTAATAATATTAGTTCAACCAACTAACTGTTATTCAAATATTATATCAGTTTATTGATAGAAAATTTTTCCCTTCAATTACTTATATCCATCAGGATGAATTTTATGTAAATAAAAGGAGTCATTTAATTGTATCAACTCACAATTATAATTTGATTTACAACTCCATTAAATATAAAATATTGATAGAACCAATAATCATTGTAGAATGATAAAATACATGATTTCTTTGATTACTTATATTTTTGATCTTTTATGAGTATAGAGTTATCAGACTTTTAAGTTTGCTTGCTAAAAGCAATTAAATAATAGCATCCAAAACTAAATATAAAATCCTTAGCGAGAATGAAATAGCTGAGATCACACAAAAAATTTTCTAATAATAAATGAATGACATTATTATAAAAATTCAAATTGTTTAAATTTATAACAAATTTTCACATACTCATTAAAAATATAAAACTATTAATGATTTCTAAGGTATCATATTTCTATAAACTAATTTACTTCTATGTGAAATATTTACTAAAATATCTAAAAGAGAATAATTTTAGTTTCTTAGCCTCTAAAATATCATATCTATTAAGGAATTTAAGTTTCCATATTATATTAAAAATATACAATATTTAAATCTAATAATATACACTTCGCTAACTTTAATTGTTTATTTATTATTTCTCAAATCTATAAGCTTTATCAAGAGTTGTGCTCGCAAATAGTAATCGTGATGTAAATCAATTACTTGTTGACTAAAGAATAAACATTGCCTATTAGAGTAGAATTGATTTCTATTGAATTTTTGAATTGAGCAAATACTATTTATTCCATATTCTAACAATATTAATATTAATACTAATTTTGAATTATACATAAGTTATTAATATTTTTATTTTAAATGAAAAGACTAATCTTGGATTTGGTATAAAATAATAATTATAGTTCTTTTCGTCCGACGTTACTAGTAAATGATGATAGGATATGTATTCGAGCGAGAAATGATTAGAATTAAATTGAAGAAATCAAATGTAAATTTGATCTTATCGATTTTGCAATATAGTGGAAAAAAAATCGGTATATATCAATTATTGATCAGCTATGAGTTACTTTATGGATTCAGAGTTTATAGATAATAATCTAGGTATAAGGTTACTGGAGAGTCAAATGAATAATTAATGATGTTTAAGGAGTATATCAAAGATAAGGTTCCGATTTCGATAAAATTGAAAAACTAGTATGAAAAAGTATAAGAAGAACCAACATTTTTTTAAGAGAATGTATAAAATTATTTTTATTATGTTTAGTGTATTATTGTGGAGGATAAAAGTACGAAATAAAAGCATATTATGTAGAGAATCTACAAGAAACTCAAGGTGACTGGTGATGAATTTAAGATTTAATTCTATCTCAAAAAGAATCCTCACCCTAATATTCTGAAATGGAATTCTCATTGTGTAGATTAGAAGAAATAATATATTTCTTTGGATTATTTTTAATATGTTACTTTGGATAAAATTTTTTAAAAGTATGAGAAGGTCCCATTAGAAACTGTGAGAGAATTTATGAGATAAATACTTTAGGGTAAAAGTTTTTAGATTAAACTTAGTCTTAGAGCATCTTCATTCTAAAGACATTATGCATAAAGATATCAAGCCAGAAAATATTATTATTACAAATTTTGATAAGCCTTAAATTTAGATTGGGGTTTTTGATCAGGCAGTTTTGAGTTAAGAGTCTTGTAGATTTGGTGGAACTATATTTTATAGACCACCTGAGGTTATTGAAGGCTATAATCATACAAATAAATTTGACATTTATAGCGCAGGGGTGGTGTTTTATGGTTTGTTGAAAAATAAATGGGTTTAAAGGAGAATACATCTTTAAAGGGATTGCGCTAAATTACAACAATTAGAGGTAGATCCTGCAGCAGTAGATTTAGTCAAATAAATGCTGCATCATGATCCATAACAGAGGTTGGATGTAGTAGAATGCTTAGATCACCATTTTTTCATTGATGAAAAACCGTGTGTTGGAAACGCGTAAAATATATAATAATTATTTAGAATGAATCAATTATTTTAACAGTCAATAATTCCCCGATTTATGCGTCACTGATGAGTGATAAACAGCATTTTTATGTACATATTAATATTCCAATCAAAATTTTTAGAAATCTCTTTCTTGTTCAAGATTAGCTTAAAATAGAATATTTAATCGTAATTCTAAATTAAACATAAATATAGTTCTTTGTTTCCTTTCCAAATAAAAAGCCTTTATTTACATTTATGCATTATTATATTATTTAAGAATTCTGATAGAAATCTATTCTTCTACATTTATCAAACTAATTTAATTTAAATATATATCCAAATATATTATCATAAATGCTAAGTTTGATTTCTATACATGCTATACTCCTTGTTAATTTAAAACATAGACCTACTAATTTTATTGTAGTTTGTTCATAAGGATTTGAATTAAGACCAAATAAGTAAGAATACATACAATCCTATATTATTTGAGGATTTAAATATATGCCAAATAAGTATTGGGAATTTCTGTTAGATATGTTAAGATTATTCCTATTTTGATAAATTTGAATATAGATATAAATTCTCATTATATTCATATTAATTAATTTTAAAATAATTTAATTAAAATTATGATTGTTAATCTGACTACACTTAATAATGAATCGGCCCTTATCTTGTCTGTTCATATATACACAATAGAGTTCATAATTACAAATTTGATGAGTGATATGGTAAAATATTTAAATCTCCTATACAAAGTATATACTAGTAAAATAGAGATAATCTATTGAGAATGATATTATAAATTTTGAACCATAACACACTTATATAAATTGATATATGAATGTTGAAATAAAAATCGTTTTTTTGCTAATTAATCTGTGGTTTTAGACAGCTTAATAAATGACTTCTAATGCTTTTTCGTGTTGGTTTAATAATATGGATTCCAAGGTTTACAATTGTTTTTATCAGATCTATTCATCCCTGTTTTCATTTTTGCATTTGTTTATTTTAAATTAATTAATTAACTGATATATTACGAGTTTTTATAAATTAATTAAATTAAATGAATTAAAATATTTATTAATTTAAACAATGCTCAGAAATGTAAAATTAGCTATTCATTTTTTACTTCCTTGTTTGCAATTATATTTTTAGACTGCTTAAATGGATAACAAATTATTATTATACATAAATAAAGTTCTTCAAAATACTCCACTTATAATCATACTTATATTTTAGAAAACATCATAATAATAAGAGTTACAAGAGCAGAGAAATTGTATTGAATTCAACAATCAAAAAAAACATCTATGATCCAAGACTCACTAAGAGATTTAGAAATAGAGAAAAACTCTCAATTAGTAGACCATATTTATATTGGGTGATTTTCCTACTTTTGGATTGTATTGATCCAAATTCTAACGTTATTCATGAATCTGACTTTCAAATTGAATAAGTTCGATCTGGCTCTCCATTTTATTTAATTTAATTTAAAATAATCTTATTTATTAAAATCGGATAATTTATAATAAAAGTGGCAAAATGATAAATTCCTTAAATATGACTTAAAGGTGCGAAGAATTAAGAAGTTCATTACATTGTTTCAGCATGTTGACCAATTTCTAAAAGAATAATATTTTATAGTCAAAATTTTTCGAATTTGAGTGTTATTACTAAATAGACCTACCAATGTGTAATGAGTATTTTAAGTTCTAAGACTAGTGTTTGCATATGGTAGAATATACAAGTTAAACATTTGCATTTTTATCTTTTATTATGATGAATAACCATTTTCTTCAAACTTCTTTTTTAAAAGTTGCTCTACAATTATTCTATCTAATCTAGTGGTATAATTATTGAAGTTTTATTGTTCAATTTAAGCAGAAATGCAATATGTGATGATTTTACTGCCACAGATGATAATACTTGCAATACATTACTAGAAAATTGTGTTACCAATGGTACAAAATGTGTTGATGGTACTAATTGTGCTGCTTAATTTAAGGGAACATAATAAACATGTTTAGACTTTAAAGCCAAATGCACAAATGATGCTAGTGCAACTGATACCATTGCTTGTAGAACAAGAACTTGTGATGATTCATTCAATTATACTAGTGATTAAGAATGTGCTAATTATTAAACAGGTTGTGTGACAAAGGGAACTGGTTGTATTATTGAAACTGCTCTATGTTCAAGTTATACTGGTACTCCAAAACAATGTGATAAATTTAAAGGAAACAAGACTACAAGGTGTTGGAATACCAGTGCTTTTGGTGTTTCTGGTGCTTGTGTTGATAAATAATGTATATAAGCTACTAGCACAGCAGATGACTCAGCTTGTGAAGCATTTTTGACAGGATGTTTATATGATGGAAATGGAAGTTGTGTAGCTAAAAGTGCTGCATGCACAGCTTATACAGGTGATGCAACTACTTGCTTAAACTTTAAAGGAAGTAATTCAGCTAATCCATGTTTCCAAGGTGTTAGTGGCAAGTGCAGAAATAAATAATGTAGTGATGATACAACTAGTTCAAGTGATGGAGATTGCAATACATTTTTACCAGATTAATGTGTTACTAAGGGAACTGGATGTATTGATAAGACCTCATTATGTACAGCATTTTAAGGAACAACCGAAAAGTGTTTAACATTTACTGCAAAATCAGGAGCAGATAAATGCACAAGATTAGAAGCCTGTGTATCAAAAGCTACGACATGTGCCTCAAAAACAGGAATTGCTGGAAATGATGATTGTTTATCATATCATGCTGATTGCAGATTTAAATTTGGAGATACAATTTGCATGCAAAGTTAAGCTGCTTGTACAAGTTATACATTGACTGGTACTGATGATGCTGCTAAGTAGACTTATTGTAATTCAATTACAACATCATCAGCTGGTACATGTAGTTATAGTACAGGTGTACCAGGTACATGTTCTGCCAGAGCATGCAATCTATGGGTGAGTACATTAACTAATATTTCATGTGAAAATTACAATGGAACAGCTTCATGTAAATTAAATGGTACTTCTTATTGTTATGCTCCTGTTGCTGATTGTGCTTCTTACACAATCCCAACTGGTACAACAGATAAACTGGCATGGTGTAATGCAATGTTCACAAATGCAGCTACTCCAACAAAGTGTTCATATGATTCAGCCACCGCAACAATATGTTCTAATATAAATACTTGTGAAGAGATCATTTCTCCTACCAGTGCTGCTGATTGTAATAAAAGATTAGATGATGGAGACTGCTAATTTACAAATAACAAATGTATTACTACTAAAACAGCATGTACTGGTTATTCATTAACTGGAATTACATCAGGTTAAGCTGCTTATTGCTCTGGCTTGAGATCAGATGATAGTTCTGGAGCTGTTAAACAATGTGCATATATTTCAGGAACTTCTACAACTACTTGTGTTGATGCAGTCATTATTGCTACCACTTATATTCCAACTATTATTACATATACTGATCCTGCTGCTATCACAATTACTGCTTGTGAGAGCATTTCATCACCAACATCATAAGCAGATTGTAATTTAGGAACTGGAAGTTGTAAATATTATTCAGGAGCATGTTATGCTAGAGTTGCATGTGCAAGTTATACCGTTGTTGGAGCAGATGCACCTGCTAAGCAAATATTTTGTTAGAATATGTATGATAATACAGCAAATACTTACTGCTCTTATAATTCAGCAGGTACTGGAGCTTGTGCTGCTGGTAAAACTGCTTGTACTGAATTTAATAGTTTAACTGGTGCAGATGATGTTGCTAAATTATTAGTATGCTCTAAACTCAGAATCAAATCAGGAAGTGCTTGCGGTTATACTAATGGAGGAGCCAATTGTGTAGCTCCAGCTGATGATGCTGCATCATGTACACTTGTAACATCTGACATTATTGCTGATGCAGATTGCGCTTTAAGAACAATATTAGGATGCAAGAAGCATGCTTCTAATCCTGCTTGTATAGCAAGAGGTGCATGTACTGCTGCTGCACCTACTGGTTCTGGAGATGCTTAAGTCACAAGCTGCTAAGTCTTTATTGGTCCTGATTCTAAATATTGTACATATACAAGTGGCGCAAATTGTGCAGTTGCTCAAAGTGCATGTTCAGGTTATGGATCTCTTCCATCTGGAACTGAATTAGCTTATTGTCAATTAAGAATTAATGAGAAAGGATAAAGATGTACATTTACTACCGGAGCAAATTGCTCAGATACTTAAGCCACATGTGCAGGATACACAGGTCTTACTGGTACTGATTTACTAACACAGTGTTAAGCTAAAATTGATTAATTTGGAGTGAAATGCTCATGGAATACTGGCACTACTGCATGTATTGCTGCTCCTAGCGCATGTGCTTCTTGGAATAGTCTACCTACAACAGGATAATTAGATTTCTGCGCATCCAGAATTAAATAAGATGGAACTAAATGCACATGGAGTAGTGGTACTGCATGTTAAGATTAGCCAGCAGCTTGTTCTGGATGGAGTGCTCTTCCATCATCAGGATAATTAGATTTTTGTTAAGCCAGAAAAAATTCAACTGGAAATAGATGTTCATGGATTGATGCTGCTACTGCATGTTCTGATTCTCAGTCTGCTTGTTCTGGATATAGTACTCTACCAGCAACAGGATAATTAGCATTTTGTCAAGCCAGAGTTTAATAAGATGGATCTAAATGCTCATGGACTACTGGAGCTACAGTTTGCGGAGCTTTTTTATGTCAAGAAACAGCAAATCCTTAATCATAAGCTGATTGCGATTGGACTGGATCAGGATGCACTTATGAACCTCAACTTTAAATTTGTTATATACTAAAGGCAGCATGCACAGATTATACACCAACAGGTGCTACCGAGGCTGATAAACTTAACTATTGTAATAATCTTATCAATTCTGGTTCTGTTGGATGCACTTACATAAAAGGGAAAGCTAGCGTTTCAACATGTTCATTATTAGCTGCTTGCACAGGCTATGATGTTTCAGATATAACTGCAGCAGCTGATAAATTAGCTGCTTGTTAAGGTGCAATTCCTACTTCTGGTTCATGTACATACTTTTCAGGAAATACTTGTGTAGCTGTTGGAGCATGCGATACATACATTTCATATGGTGGATCAGATGTAGTAGGTGATTGTGCAAAATAAAAAGATGTATCTACTGGATTATTATGTTATGGAAGTGGAACAGCTTGTGTAGCTGCAAAATGTGAAAATGTTACAGGAGCAACAAATATTGAAGATTGTAAGAAATACTCAACTGGTTGTATCTACTATAATTCAAAATGTTATACTTTATTAGCAAACTGTAGTTACCCTACTACATCAACGAATGCAATTTCATTTTGTAATGGTATAAAAAATAGTGGTGGTAATTTCTGCACTGCTGATGCTGATACTGATGCTAGTTGTAAGTAGAGATAATGTAATGATACTGCAACAAATAGTTTCTAAACTCATGATGAATGTAAGAATTATTCATCTCTATGTAAATCAGATGGTTAAGGTTGTATACTTGCATCAATAACATGCGCTAACTAAAGTGGATATCTTAGCTTTTGTGAATGGGCATTAGACACTAACAATAAATCAACTTGTGCCAAAGCACCCGCAGCTACAACTAACGATGCCTGTGCAAAGTTGACTTGTGATTTAAATGTTACTGCAACCACTGATTCAGAATGTATATCCTTCAATTCTGATTGTTTGAACAAAGGTGTAGGATGTATTAGTAAATCAGCAGCTTGTTCCTCTTACTATGGTACAAAAGTATCATGCTAGGCATTTACAGGAAATAGTAAGAAATGCTTTGGAGATAATCCTAATTTGAAAATAGCTTGCAGAGATAGATAATGTAGCGATCTGGCTACAGCTACCAGTGATAGTGACTGTGATAATTTCTTATCAGGATGTGTATTCAATGGAATTGGATGTGTAAAGAAAAGTGATCCATGTAGTGCATATAGAGGAACTTAAGATACTTGTTCAGGATTTAAGGGGAGTAGTGGAACCAAGTATTGTTGGGGATCCAGTGCTACTGTTGTTAATCCTTGCGCAGATAGAAGATGTTCCGATAAAACTGGTGGCATAAGTGATACAGTTTGTTAGACTTTCTTACCTCCTATTGCTCCATCTACTACATAATTATGTATTACTGATGGTACAAATTGTGTTGATATTGAAAAGCCTTGTTCATTCTTTAGAGGAGATAATGATAAATGCTCTTCATTCACAGCTAGTGATGGTCCATGCAAAGCAAGTGCTGTTTCAGCATCTCCTGTTGCTTGTACTTCTAGAGTTTGTTATGAAGCTCCTAATACATATACAACAGACGATTAATGTTCAAAATATCACCCAACATGTAAAACAACAGGAAAAGGATGTAAGAGTTCTGTTGGATGTGGAGAATTAACTTCACAAGCTTCATGTACAGCAAATACATCATGTCAATGGGCAGGACAATGCAGAACTTTACCAAGTACATGTACTGGATTGACTTAATATGGTCAAACTTTTTGTGTGAATACTCCATTATAACCAGTAGCACCATCAACAACTGGAAAGAGATGTGCTTGGTATATTGGAGCTACCTCCAATGGTTGCAGAGATTTCACATGTGCAGATTATGATGCATCTATTACAACTCATAAGGATTGTTAAGATAAAGATGGAACATGTACTACAAGTGGTGCTGGTTGTGTAACTTTGGGAATATGCTCATCATATAAATCTAAATCTGTTTGTGAAGCTGCAAATACAACTGAAACTTCAAAAAGATGTGCATGGAATTCTACAACAGCAACCTGTAGATAAAGAGAATGTGCAGATGGAGTGCTTACCACTGATGATGCATGCAACACATGGCTTAAAGGATGCAAAACTTCAGGAACAGCTTGTGTTGGACCAACCTTTGGATGTGATGTGTTTACAGGAAATCCTAAACTCTGTTTGAAGAATAGTGTTGGAAACCCATGTTTATATGTTAATGGAATTTGCTATGATTATGACAATTGCACAGATGTCAGCTCTTCAACATTCTCATTTTGCTAATCATTCTCTAAATAATGTGTACCAACAAATACAACTTGCAGAGCTATTACTCTATGTGATAAATATGAAGATATCAACTCATGCACAATTAGTGTTGATAATACTTTATGTGGGTGGTTACCTGAAGGTAAATGCAAAGAATACACAACATGCAGTGATGCAGCTGGTACTGTCTTATCAGCTTGTACTAGTTGGGGTTCTACTTGTGTTTCAGATGGAACCAAATGTGTCGATAAAGGAACTTGTGCTTCATATTTAACAACTTAAGCTTGCGATAATACAGGTACCGATGGACTCTGTTAATGGACTGGAACTGCTTGTAGATTGAGAGAATGCACAGATAAAGTTGCTACAACTGATGCTGAATGTTTGGCTTATACTGTTAAGAGTGGAATCTGCACAACTGATGGAGCTAAATGTGTTCCTAGAGCTACATGTTCTTCTTATTTAACCGAAGCAGCTTGCACTATTGGATAAGATGGAATTCCATGTGTATATGATTTACCAGTTGGTGCTACTACAGGAACTAAGTCTTGCAGACCTAAGGAATGCACAGATGTCAAAGGAACTACTAATGATGCTTGTATAGGAGTTATTCCAAATAAAGCTTGTGTTTCTAATGGAGTTAATTGTGTTAAATAAGATACTTGTGCTAATTACAAGAATAAATTATCATGCAAAGCAGGAGGATCAGATGGAAAATGTGCATTTACTCCAGCACCAACTACTGCTGATCCAAATAATGGAACATGTGTATCATTCAAATCTTGTGATAATGGTAACAATGATTAAGATGCTTGCAACAGTAAACCAAAGGCATGCAAATGGTAATCTACTACAACTGGAACTACCACAACTACTAAATGTGCACCAATGGATTGCGCTGGAGTTGCTTCTGGTACAGTATGCAACCCATTCCAAAGTTTCGATGGAGCTTCAAGCACTATTTGTGTTTTGGTCAATAATGTATGTTCAGTTAGTGACCCATCAACTCTTACAGCAGAATAATGCTATAAAGCAACAACTGTTTATACATACACTTGGAATGAATCCACAAATAAATGTGTTTCATGCAAAACTCCAACTAATAATAACAATAACTCAACCAATCCAAACACAACAGACCCAGACACTAATACTGACGATAATGGATACATCTTAGGTGTTACAATTCCATTGGTTATTTTGGGAATGTTCGTTTGATTTTGATTTAAAATTTATATAGGAAAATTTACATAAATTAATCCAATCTTGACAGCTTGTTCATTAACAGATGAATTATACTATCTCTCTGAAATAAAAAAACAAGATCATCAGTTTTGTAAGGGAAAGCATTCTAAAATAAGTAAACATAATACAATATTACAACAAGAAAATTAATTTTAACTATATCTCTTAGTTAAATGATTTAATTTTATGATTACTACTATGAAATAATAATATTTGCTACCTTTTTGTCGAAATAGAAAGTTTATTTATGATATTTTTTATTATAGTTAAAAACAAAATAGATGATTCTCAAATGATAGTGGATTTTTAGAATGGTATAAAAGATATATAATCAAATGCAAATTTCAACTATTTCTTCTGACCTTTTGATTTTGTGTTGTCCTAATAATATTTAAAACTATTTCTATAAAAAAAACTAATTAATCACAAACCCATAATATTATTTTATAATAAAAACTATAAAAAAAAGGCTTTGGATAGATTAAGATGCTAATGATTTAGCTTCCTCTTGGTCTCCTTTTGCTCAATTACTTATGAAACTTTATATTAAAATTTTGAATTTTATATTATGAGATCAGAATTATTATCGGAACAAGCAAACTTTTAGATATTATGATTAATATTATTATTATTCTACCCTGTCGGGAGAAGAGAAAACATAGATATTTAATCATAGAATCTTTTCACAATTATTATACTCCTTTAACTCTTCTATCATTCTCTCTATTTTTTGCTCTTGTCACTACTAATTATTTTCTTATTAATTGTGCTAAAATTCTTATTTAAGTGATCTTTTATCAAATGCTTATATGTTGTTCTTTATGAATGTATTTTACATTAATACCCTCCTTTATTCAATAACTATCCATAATATTAACCATATTAGCCAATTTCCCTTTTAATCGTTTGCTCTCATAATTATTACATTGATCTATTACATCAATTTCAAATTAAAATATCTATCCTTCAATAATCATTTTCTTAATATAATACATACACTATTTATTAAGGTTATCTAGAGAATTAACAATTTAACTTCCTATTTAATCTAGGGACCCCTTATTAAAGTTTTTAAAGATCCTTTATATAACCTATCTATTTTTTGTTAATATGACTTATTTTATTCAAATGCGCTGCAACAGCTAAATATTGAAAATGAGGTCTGTTAAAGGCAATCCATAAATTTATTCTCTCTTTATAATTCATATATTAAGAGATCCAACTTAATTCCTTGACTATGTATTATATTCTTTACTTAGTTTTTGTAATATGATCCTTCAAATTTCCTAACCTATTAATCACAATTCCTAAGTATGTATAGCTTTCTACAATTGGAATCCCTTCAATTTTTTTTATTTTGTTATTTCTTACTTCAACTTAATAATTCCACATTTAGTTTTAATAAATTTTAAGGTTCCACTTCATACATTCTTCACTTAAACATCTAATAAAGGATTTTAAGAATTTATTTTTAATTATAATTGCTAAATCATCTGCATATTCAAATTCCTCATATAGAATATATGCCTTTCTCTCAATTTCATCCAAAGACGCTTCCAAATATATATAAAATAACCCTGGAGATAAAAGGGACTCCTAAGGAAGTCCATCTTTAAATTAATAACACTCCTTCGCTTCTGCCACTCTATAATAAATAAGAGAATACATAGCTTCTAATAATTAAATCTCTTTTCCTCTAAGATAGTTTTGATCCTATGAATTTAGTACAATTTATCTCTAAATATAGTATTGTATTTCGAAATCGATGAATGATAGGCTTATACGGTCTTATTGTTTAATTATTTACATCCGTTGAAATATATGAAAAATATTTATCTACACTCCTCCACCTTTAACAAAATCATTTTATCTTAAACTCATTTTCCTCTACATATAATATCTATTTTGTTTTGAATCTCAATTCCATAAATTTATATATATTACTCAGAGTTGTAATTGGCCGAAATTTATGCTTAATTAGGAATTTATGTAAGGCTTTATTCAAAGGAACAAATCTGGCTTCTCCCAGCTCTTTATTTATTTTAGTCGTCTCATTAGTCCATAAATTTTCCAACATATGATATTATTTTGTCTTTTTTAAAAAAGTATCTGAAATTCCATCACTACTATTAATAGCCTTATTTTACTACATGAAATCTTACAATTTCTAGATCTCGTTATACTGTAATTTTTCTAATTTTGGTTATTCTTTAGGTAGCAGCGGAGCTATGTTCGAAAGCACACTTAGCCAGTCCAAACAATATTATGTTAATCTATTGCAACAATATTCTCGTCATCATCATAAAAGTACTGAAAAATACAACCTTCCTTTTTATTTGGATTGAGGTTCTTTAATTGCTTAACCATTTTTTAAGCCTTAATTCTCTACTTACTAAAAGCATCTGCAACATTATTAAGTACTTTCTGTAAGGTTTGTGCCTTAAAATTGATAGTATGGATTTTAACCCTCTATCTAAAAATCACTTATTCTGTCCTTAAATTCCTTCGAACATATTCAAAATAATCCTCAAGTATATTTTATCTCGAAGCCCTTATATTCCATTGATATGGTTTAAATTTTTTATATAGTGTAATATGCTATTTTTAATCCATCTCCGCTCTTAATTTCAATTTTATATAGATTTTACAATGATCAATCAGTAAAATAAAGTTATTTTTGAGCGCCTGATTTAGGAAAAACTAGAAACTCATCGGTTTGGATTATCTAGCCTTTCCTTCTACCAATCATTTGTAAGTGAAATCAGACTTATTCAATATATTTTAATAATTTTGAACATGATATTTCTTCAAATTAAAATATCCACAGAATATTACCATTTGATTGTTCTTATGCTTTTTATCAAACTCAACATTTACTCTAATTTTCTCTTATTTTACTTCTAAAGTTAAATCTATTAAAATGCAGATTTATTATCACTAAACTACAACACTAATTTTAGCATTTACCATAACCACATTAACCTTATTATTAAACACATTTAACTTTTCAGTAAGGTTAAGGTAAGAAAAACTCTTATGAATTCCTATCACAACTCCTCCTGAATGGTTCGATTTTCCAATTTTTAAGAGTAAGTATATGATTAGCTATTTTTAAAAACTTTGCATCTAGTCTCCTCCAGAAATATGATGTGGCACCTTTTCTTCTTAATCTCTTAATACGTTTATTGTTTTACAAAGGATGCATTCCATGCAGTTATTCTACTTTTTTCCTCTATAATAATCCCTTTTTTGAGTTGAGGAATTAAACTTAAAAACTTATGGAGATTAATCCCCATCTCCTAATCATTTTTGCACCTCCTAACACTATCTATATTTTCTTATTTTGTGAATCTTTAGACCTTTATCATTCTTAAACTCTTCTTGGCAAATTTTGCATTTATACACTCTACTTATCTCTACTTACGAATTTCCTACCTCTCTACTCTCATCCTTGTTCACTATTTACTATTCTCTATTCAGACTTTTCAATTTTCCATCTTTAGACAAGTCTTAAAATTCCTATCTGAATTAAACTTCATATTCCTTACTCCCACTTAATTAAATTATCTTCATTTCTTCTTCTCGGCTGGTTATTTTTGTGCATTTCTATTTGGACTCCACAACTTATAAGCTGTAATCAAGAAATTTATTGTAGGATTATTTTATCCATTTTTAATTATATTCCATTTTATCTTCACTCAACATCCCTTTACTTAATATTATAATTCAATTTTGGATGCATGATTAANAACCATTTTTTAAGCCTTAATTCTCTACTTACTAAAAGCATCTGCAACATTATTAAGTACTTTCTGTAAGGTTTGTGCCTTAAAATTGATAGTATGGATTTTAACCCTCTATCTAAAAATCACTTATTCTGTCCTTAAATTCCTTCGAACATATTCAAAATAATCCTCAAGTATATTTTATCTCGAAGCCCTTATATTCCATTGATATGGTTTAAATTTTTTATATAGTGTAATATGCTATTTTTAATCCATCTCCGCTCTTAATTTCAATTTTATATAGATTTTACAATGATCAATCAGTAAAATAAAGTTATTTTTGAGCGCCTGATTTAGGAAAAACTAGAAACTCATCGGTTTGGATTATCTAGCCTTTCCTTCTACCAATCATTTGTAAGTGAAATCAGACTTATTCAATATATTTTAATAATTTTGAACATGATATTTCTTCAAATTAAAATATCCACAGAATATTACCATTTGATTGTTCTTATGCTTTTTATCAAACTCAACATTTACTCTAATTTTCTCTTATTTTACTTCTAAAGTTAAATCTATTAAAATGCAGATTTATTATCACTAAACTACAACACTAATTTTAGCATTTACCATAACCACATTAACCTTATTATTAAACACATTTAACTTTTCAGTAAGGTTAAGGTAAGAAAAACTCTTATGAATTCCTATCACAACTCCTCCTGAATGGTTCGATTTTCCAATTTTTAAGAGTAAGTATATGATTAGCTATTTTTAAAAACTTTGCATCTAGTCTCCTCCAGAAATATGATGTGGCACCTTTTCTTCTTAATCTCTTAATACGTTTATTGTTTTACAAAGGATGCATTCCATGCAGTTATTCTACTTTTTTCCTCTATAATAATCCCTTTTTTGAGTTGAGGAATTAAACTTAAAAACTTATGGAGATTAATCCCCATCTCCTAATCATTTTTGCACCTCCTAACACTATCTATATTTTCTTATTTTGTGAATCTTTAGACCTTTATCATTCTTAAACTCTTCTTGGCAAATTTTGCATTTATACACTCTACTTATCTCTACTTACGAATTTCCTACCTCTCTACTCTCATCCTTGTTCACTATTTACTATTCTCTATTCAGACTTTTCAATTTTCCATCTTTAGACAAGTCTTAAAATTCCTATCTGAATTAAACTTCATATTCCTTACTCCCACTTAATTAAATTATCTTCATTTCTTCTTCTCGGCTGGTTATTTTTGTGCATTTCTATTTGGACTCCACAACTTATAAGCTGTAATCAAGAAATTTATTGTAGGATTATTTTATCCATTTTTAATTATATTCCATTTTATCTTCACTCAACATCCCTTTACTTAATATTATAATTCAATTTTGGATGCATGATTAATTTATAGTAAGCTTACCTTTTCTTGTACCATCTTTAGGGAAAAGCTATACTAAAGTTTAAAATAGAGATAAATACTAGATGAAACTGAAATTGAATTCATAAGACGAATTCAATCTTAAATATATTCTTGAAGATCCATTAACAAATAGAGGAAAATCTGATTTAAAAATGGTCTTGCATAAGGTTCCCCTATATTTCCGTTGCTATTTAATATATATCTTGATGAATTACTATTAGAGGTTTGTACAGAAACTGGAATAGCCTTCAAGAGTTTGGCTTATACTGATGATGTTGTTTACTTTGTAGAACATCACTTGACCCAAAAGTTTGTAATTAAATTATGTGAGTTGAGCTTGGCATGGGGATTTAAAGTAGATAAATCTGGAATATTTCTGTATAAGAGCATAAAGGTGAAAGGGAATGTCATCAAAGGCATTCCTATAGCTAGGGAGTATAAGTACTTTCGGGTGGACTTGGAACACCGAGGATCGACAAGGTTTTAGGTCAAAGCCCTCTAAAAGATAATTTAGTTTATAACCTTTAAATTAAAATGGCTTGTGAGTTAGATGTCTTTAAAGCAAAAAATATGTATTTGGAAAGTCTTCCTGCAACCTCGTATAAGGTATGACAGTTAGTATGCTAAAGTGCACTCCTAATGAATTGATTTCAAGAATTATGAGAATTATAATTGTATCCCATGGAATATTACAAGACTGTACTGTTTATAGGAAAAATTTATAGTAATCACAAAGCAGCTAAGAGTGATAGTCACTTTGTAGAATAACACTTGGATGCAACAATTGATTAGTACTTGTAAATGCTAAAGGGAGTCGATATTTAGAAATAGTTAAGATAAAGAACAGAGAAAGAAATCAAGGAGTTAACAGTGCAAGAGAGTAAATGAGTATAATATGTGTTGTTACTTAATAGGAATCAATAATAATAATAATTACTATTTCCAAATATTTGTCATTATCATTTTTTTCATTTTTGTGCTAGGTTCTTTGCTTATGATCTGAATTTCTCTGGATTTCATTTTATTGTAACTTTACTAAATACAAATCAAAAGATGGGCCTTGATGTTCAATTACCAAAACAATACTATCCTGCAATATTGGCAGGTTACTTTGATTTATTAGATAAACCCAATTATGTTTGTTTAAGGAACATAGAAAAAAGACAAAAAAATTCTATAGGATAATTAATTGTAAGAAGAATTATTTTAACAATTTTCTTTCAATCCGAAAATGGACTTGGTTCAATTATTACTTTGTTTTTGAAAAAGTACAATAAATCTGAATTTAGAAACTCAGAGTAAAAGATGGCTGAAATGGTTTTCAACTATAGCTAGGCATTTTCTAATTCAGCCAGAGAATATTAATTTTATATTAGATGATAGTGATTTTTGATTTTATCAAAAATTTCATCAATTGTAGTAAAATTTAAATTCTAGTAAGTAATGAGCTATAAACTTAAGTCCAGTTTGTGATAAATTTCTAATTATTTTAAATTTAAATCTCTAACTAAAAAATATAAATGAAAGTAAAGTTAAATCAAAGAATGTAAATTAAGCTAAATAATTTCAAAAATACATATGTAATCAAACATGAATTAAATCATTCCTTTATCTAACTTAAAATTCTTAATTCTAAAAGTCCCAAGTAATAAAATATTATTCATCTGAACTCAAAGCTGCAAAATTCCAATTAGTACTAAATTGGATAATCTATTATATCTTAAACTCTTAAGTGTCATCCATTTTTAAGAAATACATTCTATACTTATGTCGAACAATAAGCAAGCGAGATATATTTGAGTAAATTGATTAAAAATAATGAAAGTCATAATTTCCTTGTCCTAATATTAATTTATTCTTCAATTCAAAAAGTAAATTTCGTGGATTCATTTAAAATAAATATAGCTACCCATCACTAGTAGGTTACCATGTTAACTTATCATGATCAATAAAGCAGATTTTAGTTCCATAATCTTCATTCCTAATATTCTGAAATTTTTTCCATTGAACTTCAAATTTTGTGGATGTTCTTTACTATCTCCAAAATGTTATTGTTTTATTTTCAGAGCATGAAGCTAATATGTCCGATGTAGAATTCTCAACAATACTATAAATTTCCCCAGTCATAGATCTCAGTGTCTCTTAACATTTCCAACCACTATTTTGACCCTAAGCCACCCAAATCTTGATTGTTCCATCTTCACTTGATGATATAATTGAATCATCTTTCTTACTTATTATGATAGCACTCACCCTCCCTTTATGTCCAACCAATTAGGTGGTAAATTTCCAAGTATTTTTCTGCAATTCCCAAACCAACATTGATTCATCACTTCCACCAGCAACAAGAAAATTTGATTATATTCCAAATTTAATTATTTTGACTAGCGATTTCCCTTTTAAAAATTATGGATTCGTAACATAACCATTCTTGAACTCCCATATTTTTACGTCATGTTTCGAAGCAGCTGCTAATAAGTTCCCCTTATTGTTAAATGCTAATGCTCCTCCCCATTTTCTCTGTTTTTATTTTGAAATTAATTAGTAATTTATACTACTCCCTTCAATAATTTCTTCAACTTAAGTCAAGTGTGTATTTTCCAACTATTCCTATGGATTTATATCTTGATCCATAATAAAATATAATTATTTATAATATTGTTTTCCTTTTTAATAATATTGTCTCATTTATAATACATATATTATCATAGATTCAATATGTTAGCATGCATTGATATTACTTTCAACCATTTAGGACCATTCCAGTTCACAACTTGAAAGCTCTATACTGTTTAAAAGATACAATATTGATTAAATTTATAAAGCTAAATAAATTTAGGTAAGTGCAAAAATATTCATTGGTAGCACTTAATAGATGAATTCAAGGTGAAAATAAATTTTTGAATGTCCGCCATAGAGACACGCCAGTATAAAACAACAAAAATCGATAAATAATAAATTCTAAAGGCGATTTTTTCAATCAATATAAGGTATATTACTTAAATATAACATATTCAAGCTATAACTCCCTTTTCAGACAATAACTTTTCAAAATTCCCTTTAATTAGTTTCAAATTTCGATTACTAAATCTCATAGCAAAAGGCCTACAAAAGAGGATTTTTTGCAAATGTATCATAGCAAACTTGTTCGTATGTTTTTAAGATTTGAGGATCATCCTTATATATTAAAATTGAGCCATCTTCTAAACCAAGTATGAATTGTTCTCCAGATGAAGTATATTATAATTATTTAATTTGAAAACTAAACTAAGTATATTTTATTTCATTAGTTTGGCATCTATGATTTCTAATGCTCTTTCTTTTAATTTTCCCTCAAAATTAGATACAATTTATTAGTTGTTTCTATTATCAAAATCAACATAATTATCTTTTATAACTCCTGTTTATTTATAATCAGATATGATTTCTTCAACTCAACTGATTTTTGATAATGAAATTTTTTTGCTTAATCCATTATTAATCTGAAATTTCCAATAACATAAGAGTATGGTTATTTTTTCAAGATAATTTCCTTCCAAAACCACAATGACGTTCGCTTTTTCTATGATACATCATATAACTTTAAGTGCTTTATTTAAATTGAGACTAAACTCTTGGCTTAATTAAATCTTGCTATGAATTTGATGATGATAACGGATGGTTAGTAGCTTCATCTAATACAATAACATCTATTGTTTATACCACAATCTGAGTTACTTGAACTTCATGCGATACAGATATGAATTCTTCATCTTTCAAAAGGAAAATCAACACAGTTTTAATCTATTATTTACGAATATGATGATTGATGGATTTTCATCTTCAATAGCTAATCACAATTAAGGAATATTTCATTTCTTTGATAATCTATTTGGAAGTAATTATTTATTCTTAAATATGCCCTTAAGTGTAGGATAAAGTTAAAGAAAGATAGGAGATATTCACTATTAAATAATAATTTATCTAAATTTTTAAAATTTTTCAAAATTAGAATATTACAATATTGAGGAATGGAAATTAAATAGATAGAAATTAATATTGTTATATAAAATTGATTTCATCAAACTTCAATTTTAGAATAAGGATGCAAACCTTGTTTAGATTAATTTCAAAACCTGACTGAAGATATTCAGGTCTAGAGTTACTTGATTGGAATTAAAATTAATATAGGAAACACACTTGTGAAATGAAATTTTCAAATATACATAATTTAAACACATGATTTAGTTTTTATCATTATTAATTAGCAACTTTTTTGATAAAATCTTTTTATTATTATTCAGAGATTTTATGTTAATTTTAGATATCTGGGTTATTCAAAATAGAGAAAAGGGAATAATAAAAGTTTAAAATCTTAGTATAGTGATCGACTTTTTCAAGTCTAAAATTAAATATGATTAACAATTGTTGAAGATTTTCTTTTTAAAATATTTTATCTCCAGAATCTATATATGCTTATAGTTGTTATGTAGTTTAGTCACTTACTATGCCATCATAGTCATGCCTTTTAGAATAATTAAAATATGTTACAATAGAACTTTTAGGGATGCTAATAATTCCTTCTTTGGATTGTGCATTTCTAGAAATAGTGGTTAACGTAATGAGTTTGGAAATTGAAAACAATTTTATTATATAGTTTATACCCTTTAGAAATTTTGTTATCCTTTATTTTGTGGTTGGGGAATATTGTTATTGCAATTATTAATAGTACTAAAATTGTGATAATTGATATTATTATTGTTATTAACAACGGTAGGAAATCGGTGAGAAATTATGTTCTGTGAAATTTAACCGAAACTAAAAAAAGGACTTATTCCATGAAACCTATTAATCCCTAAAATTTGAGATCCTATATTATTAAGTTCATGTTCAAACTTCTAAAAAACCTTTGAAAATGGAATTCTTTGATCAGGGGAATAAACTAACATTTCCTCAATAAGTTGGATATACTTTGAGTTCCCTTATAATTGTAACTTTTGTTCTTTTATATGATTCAGAAATTTGGCAATTTCAATGACAGAAGGTTCAAAAGGTAAATTCCCATGTACCATCTAATACAATATCAAGGCAATCTAGATTTATTCATATAATTACTGAATAAACATCAATCTTGCTTTTTTGATCTTCATTGGTTTTGATAGAATTAAAGCAAAAGCTTAATTCTAAGTCTTGCTGTATTGGGCTGATTTCTGGAGCAGCATATGCAGGTGTTCCAATCTTTTCAAGGCAGGAGTCGTCATCTTTTTAAATTAATTTTGCAATTCCAAAATTTGCTATTTTAAATATTGCCTTTCCATTTATATATTTAACTTCTATGGAATCAGGCTTGATATTACGATGAATAATATTTTTCTGATGAAGAACTCTATAACCATTTAAAAATTGAGTAAAAAATTCATCTATTTCAGAATCATTAAACTTTTTTTTTTTATCCCATATTTATTGTAAAGTAGTATCGCATTTCTCCATAATTATGACAATCAAATTCCTTTCCTTTAGTATTCTGACCAGATGCACATTAACTAAGTTTTAATTAATTCTATTTTGATAGAGTATTTCATGTATTTAGATTTACATTTCATAATACGGCTATAAGGGCTATTCTTGCATGAGTATTAACTATTATAGTATTAAATTATTTATTACTTTAGCACATAAAGCAATTTAAGAATTCTTAGTTGATTTGCAATCGTATAATTTTTCATTTATTTTTTCCCCAAGTAATATTTGGTACTCATCAATTGTCAATAGTTCAACCATCTACAATTCTTTTATTAATTTACTTATTAATTTTATCACTTGAGATAAAGAATTTGGATTTGCATTTTAATAGAAAATCATAAATTTATAATATAAACAGGTGGTATGAATAAGAAAATAGATATAGCAATAATTATAAATCACTTTACATCAGACATTAATAAATTGTTTTCGATTATTACAACTAGGGCTTATAATTGGATTTTTGATTCTACTTTAGATATAATAAACAATAATTTCTAATTATAATTTGACATAATATATTATACATTCTATTAATTTGCATTGATAAAAACATTATGAATTTAAAAAATATTTCAAAATCAAATTTATTAGATTAAATAGCACAAAAAAGATGTTTGAGATTTTTTTGAGCTAAAAATATAAGAAAATTAAAGTTAGAACAAGGGCTATTAAATCTATTAATTTATTTAGGTAATTAAAAGATAAATATATGAAAATTAGTTGCTCGACATCCAGAAGATTAGATGACTTAGGAAGAATTTTAAAGCATCTAATTAAAATGGTATCTAAATTATATCTGTCAGTAAAATGCGTTTGTATTTCAAAATATATTAAACTCAAATAGAATCATAATAATCAACTAATACATTTAGTTAATTTCTTGAAAATGATTTAGATTATTAATTATTATTATAATTTTTAATTGTTTGTCTATATTTTATTGCCTCTTCAACTTTCTGATCTTCATTTATGATTGATAAGATTGAATAATGAAAGCAATTGCACACTGAATAACCATATAATTGCTTATTTATA